TTCTAAGTTGGATCTTCTCTCTCCCTTTTCTATTTTGGGTTTAAATTTGTTTTCCCCAAAGTGGCTTTTCCTGGAGAACTGGTGGCAGGGCAGCCATTGCTGCGCTGGTGTCAAGCACGCTGCCCCTTTAAGAGGAGCAGAGGGGATGGTCCCCAGGACTTCTGTTGTGGAATGCCAGCTGCAGCAGATGCCGCAGCACGCCAGCACTGCAAGATGGTGTCTCCGCTAGGGTTAACGACACTTAGCTTGTTGTCTGGAACCAGTTCAGACCGGTTTTCTGGAAAGTGCTTTGTGTCTCCGACTGAATCCTGGGAAAGGGTCATGTGTAGATCCAGTGATGTCATGGGATCACAAACTGACTCAGCTCTCCTCCCCCCACCCCCACCAGATATGTGTGTTTCTTGCAGGTATGGTTGGAGAGGCTTGGTCAAAAGCAGGCCTCTCCAGTGCATGTTCTCTCCTCCAAACAAACTTTTTAAGCCCTTTCCCTCAAATCTCCCTGATTTCCACCTGATTCCTAAGGATCCGGAGCACTTCCAGAACAGACTAAATTGTTGGGGTGGGCAGAGTTACCCAGCCCCTAGTTTTTAAGGACATGGCCGAATCAGGTGCCTTATTTTTAGCATCAGCCTAAAGTTTCTCATTTTTAGCCATAAAGAGTTGATGGGGTAGGGGAAAAGGAGCACCCCTGTACCCTGTTAATAGGAAGGGCTTTTCACAGAGCTCTGGAACATGTCACAAGAAATAAAACTTTAAAGAAAACCGGGTATTTAACATTATAAGAAAAGCAAGCTTCAGTGTCTGAAGGAAATGTTCCGGATTTCCTATGGGAAGTTAGGCAGACTGGTACCTGTTTTTTCCAAACAGTCTTGGCTTTTGATTATTTGATTTTCACTCAAGGAGTGCGATTTGCGGGAGGGGGGTGAGTATAGGATCAGAGCTGAACAACTTGATTTGCCACAGATGTGGTCCTTGCTTGTGTAATGTATGGCACCCGGATGGTGTACCTTTAATGTTCTCTCTCTCTCCCCCCCCACCCCCCTTTGTGCTACTTTTCCAGAGCACCATAATGACGGAGGAAGCTTGCAGGACGCGAAGTCAGAAGCGAGCACTTGAACGGGAAATCACCCAAAACGACGTGGACTGTAAAAAGATGAAAATGGACAAGGGGCTTTTGGGGGGCCCTGAGGCCAACTCTGAAGGGGGGGACCTTAAGATAAAGACTGACCCTGGATCTGGTAGAGTCCAAGGACTATTAAAAGGAGGAGAGATGAAAGCAACTATCAGAGTGGAGGTTCAGACAGGGGATGAGCCAGTGGATATGAGCACCTCAAAAAGGTAAGTGATCATAATGAGTTTTAAGAAGCAGGTGGCCACATCTCTCATTGGCTGGTCCAGGCAATTTGGGTGATAGGAAATGTTCTGGAATATGATAGAAACCAAAAGACAGGAAGCAGGAGGAAGCATCTGGTTCTTCCAGTATCGGTGGAACTCCCTGCCACATCCTTTTGGTTAGGTTGGTTTAATATTTCTCTGCACTGTTGCGTTTAACAATCACAGTTCTTTAGGGTTGTTTTTCCCATGATCATCACCATTCCTTCTATATCCGTTGCTTTTGCTTATGTAGTTAACCAAGCCCACAGGCTCATGTCTCACGCACGTGCGTTAGTAAACTTTGGGGAGAAATTAATGAGGACTGGGTGTTTTGGAGAAACAAAATACTGAGCTGGGGTGTCAGGCTGGGTTGGAAAGGGAATGGAATGAGTGTTCTGGAGGAGGGGAGAGTTGGTTGGAGCAGAGAACAGGAGGACTTCTCATGGCTGTTTGCTGATCCCAGCTGTTGCAAAGTGGAACTTCAGTGTTCAAACACAGTTTGCTTTGGCATCTCAGAAGCTGAGGGACAAACAGGATTGAGTATTGTTCTTGTATTCAGAAAGTTTCCTGGTAGTTTCTGACTAGTTGTGGTTGAAGAAAGTGCTGGGCTTGATCACCCAAATATCTAGCTATAAATTGGCCTGCAAGGCACTACCCCAATGAGATTGTTTCTACCTAGGCTTCTCTGATAAACTGGAAAGAAAAGAGTGTAATTCAAGCAGTGGGGAAATATTGCTTGTATTAGTTACCCTGAATAGTGGAATTGTTGCAACTGTCTTCCTTGCCTCTCCCCCCAAAATTAATTTGTGGATTTACTGGATACCACTGCATGGTAAGCCTGCTCATTAGGGGGGTTGCTGTAATATAGTTACGTATAGGTTCCTATGCTCTCTACATCCCCTTTGAGTAGGAAAGCCTTGTAGTGTATCTGACACCAAAGCTTTCTAACAGGAGAGATCCCACTCTGCAGCCATTCACAAGCATATTGATTTCTTTGGTAAAACTTACTTTGTATAATATTCAGGAGGTAGACTGCCTTTGAATATGGAGGTTTCATCAAGAATTCAAATACAGTAAACACAAAAATGATCTTTATGTAATCCAGATTGACAGATGACACCAAGCCACGGTCACACATAACACTAAGCCATGGTTTGCTTACCATCTTACTGGCTAGATTTGTGCAGAATGGTTAGCCTTCAGTCCAGGTTTGCAGACCCTAATGGCTGGGCTCACGTATTCTAAGCCAACACAAAACCAACCACATTTTGGCTTCCGTGTGATGCATCGACTTGCAGGGAAAGGTTTGCAGCTCACTGGTAATGCACATGCTTTGCTTCCCAAGTCCTGAGTTCAGTTCCTGGAATCTTCAGGAAGGGCTGGGAAAGATTCCCTGGAGTACAAAGGCAGTATTGAACTAGATGAGCAACAGCCTCGCTAAGTTTTCAGTTGAAAAAAAAAAATTCAAACAAGTGCATGAAAAACAACCAAGTATCCACACTAATAAAAGCCTGGTAGACAGGTAATATTTCTTTGGAACTTTACCTAATGAATTAAAAAGTGCTCATTTTTAGCAATATTTGTGTCTTTGGGAAGAGAGAACCCAAAGGCCTGTTTCACTGGCCTGTTGAGAGGATGAAAACAGGGCAGTCTTCCATCCGAAAGTATACTGCCCAGAGCTAAGGGAATACATAATACCCTATATAGCATCACTGTGGGCTGAAGCTTTGCAATTTGGTTTAAAATAACAAAAAGTTGTATAAAATAGAGGTTAGATTGCCAGGTAAGACTAGATTCAAACTCACTTAGGTGACTTGGGCCTAAACTCTCTAGCAGAGATCTCAAAGACAAATGTAGGATGATGGTGTAGAAGAGAACCATGTATGGTGTCTTGAACTCCTTCGACAAAGAATGGAATTTAAATGAAGACTAATTAATGAATTAATTAATAGAAGTTGACAAATGCACTGAGAAGAAAAGGTGGCAATATTTGGGGGGGGGGGAGAGTTTGAACTGAACGTATACCGAGAGAGTGCTTTTGGCCATTCAGGAACAAAAACATCTGTTTGAGTGTAAAGCAGTTTTGAGTGCTGGGGAGAAAAGTATTGTTTGGAGAGTTGTTAGTAGGGTTTTTTGGTCAGGCATCATAGAGGAAAGCCAAAGGTATTTTATACTTTGGTAGGTATAAAAAATAGTAATCCATACTAACTCAGAAGGACTGCAAGGTGTGGCTAGGAAGAGCGTTAATAACTCAGTGTAGCTTAGTGTCCTCTATGGTTTCTTTTGAGCCTGACCATTTCACAAAGGCCCACATTGGCCCCTGCATAGTAAGTCATTTGATAATGCCCACTGAGCCTCAAATGTTGCCTGTCCCCTCCCCCTTCACACCAGCACCTGCTGACACTTCAGTTTCTAACAGTGATGTTGCAACCACCAGCTTTTTATCGTACTTTTGATGGACTTACCTTGTGGCTAATTTTCATGGCAGTCTAATGAGCAAGGAGTCATTCTGGCTGGGAACTTAACGAACTGCAGTCCCAGCACGTTTAGAGGGTGCCAGAGTGGGGAAGACGGTGCTAGAGATTCAGCTGGAAATTTCCTAGATAGAAAACATGCATTTCCCTGAGCAGCACTGAGTACTGTAGGTAGGTATCAGTCTCTACATAATCATCTTTTCATATGGTGTTGCCCAAAGAGTGGGATCTTTTGCAAAGCCCATATTACCCAATCTTCCTGTAGAAAGCCCACGATCAGGAATATAGCTGCTTTTCTTTTGGCATTTAACCTCAGGATAAAATAGCCAATGCAGATTTTGTACTTGATGGGGATGGGGAGCTCTGATTGGGACCTTGAGTTTTATAAATCACAAATGGGATCAGGCTGCTGTTTTGGGAACTTTTTAGGTCTGTTACCCTAAAAAGGCCTTCTAAAATATCTCCCACTAGCCAGTCCATGTTTGACAGCCAGAATTTTAAATAATTCCATTGGAATTAAAAATAAGGATAGTTGGTCAACCTGCTCTTCTGGGAAGGCAGGTTATGTTGATGAAGTGTATGTATATGTGTGTGTGTGTGTTTGTGTATCACCCCACCCCACCCTCCAGCTACTTCTCAGCATGCACAATTTTATCTTGTGAAGGATGTGCCTCTGATTTTTGGAGGAGGAGGATAGGAGAGTGGCTTTTTTGTTGTTTCTTTTTGTTTCCTGTTTGTAAATAACTTTTTCTCTTTCTCCTTTTGTTGGTTGGATTTTTTTCCCCAAATTTCTCTCCCCTTTTCTGTTCATCATAAACTTCACAATCGTCCAAAGGCATCACCTTTTGAAATTAGGCGTTCTGGTGGGTGCTTAGAAAGTTTTAACAAATAAAGTCTTCCAAGTGACCCACATTTCCCAGGGGTGTTTACATTGTAAATATGTAGGAGCCTGTTACTCATGAGATATGTGGGAAACTCCCCAGATTTAGACACCAGATGGCTCGGAATACCAGTTTATGGGGATTTGGGAGAAGTGGAGAGCTAGGCTGTTGTCTTCAAGCCCTGCTTCTTTTCTTTTTCTAAGACATCTGGGGGGCCATGGTAGAAAGTAGGAAGCTTTGCAAACTGGACCTGCAGTCTTATCCGAAAGAGCTGCGGCTAAGACTTTTAAGGTGATGCTGAATATACAATTCAGTTTCCTGGTAACTTTTTCTTTGAGACATTTGAAACTGTGTGGGCACCATTTGATGACATCTCAGAGGCAAAATGCTGTTTGTATTACTGGCTTAACAACTTGAGTCTCCCCCCCCACCCCATTTCTCTTGTTCTTTTAAGGTTCTAGTCAAGGGAAGGAGAATCCATAGCTGTAAAATTTGCTAAACTACAATTCCCAACAGCCTTAGTTTCCATGACCAGTAGTGAGGGATATTGGAAACTGTAGCTCTGGAGGGACACATGGCCTTCATTTTTCTTGTAGTCATGTTTGGCTTGAAAGTGTTGGTAATACAGGTAGTCCTTGCTTAGTGACTACAATTGGGACCGGCAACTCAGTCTCTAAGCGTGCAGTCACTAAATGGAAAATCACACAAGCGCAACAGGCTTACGCTCATTAAACAAAGTGACCCAGTTGCTTAGGAAAAAATCATATGACCACAACTTACGAATGACGATCATGTGACTGCGGGATACCGCAACAGTTGTAAATCCGAGAATTGGTCGCAAAGTTGGTTTTTTTAGCACTGTCATAACTTCGAACTGTCACTGCATGAGGCAGTTGGTAAGCAAGGAGTACCTATACTAAGATGTTGACAATCTCAGAGGATGGAGTTAGTTTTCTAGTGGTTGGGAGTAAACAGCTCTAAGAGCTCCTCCCCAGAAAAAAACAGCATAAATTATGCACAGTAGCTGATTACCATGCCAGATTGCTAAATTAGCATGAGATACTGGTTATGACATTTAGCTTGGTACAAGATTTTAATTCACTCAATATATACGCATCCTAACTGACTGGCTTGCAAGTGCCAGCTCTGTGTTCTCTGGGGCCCGGGACTAGTTTTACCACTTGCCTTCTTTGTGCCCAGAAGTCACTATCATTCCAAGGTGGCAGGGCAGGGCATGGCTTCATTGCGACTTCTTGTTCCTGTCCTGGCAATTTGAGTCAGGCAAATCCCAGGTTACCTGAGGAATCATCTTGTCTCCATTACATTGACCCGTCCTACCACTGGTCCGGCAGGAAGGGTATGTTACAGTCCCTGTCGCTTAGAGAGTTTTAACTGGCAAGGTCCAGGAGGAGAGCTTTTTCTGCCATGGCTCCCACCCTCTGGAATATTTTGCCCCCTGAGGTGAGATTGACCCCCACTCTTCTGGCCTTCCGAAAGGGCATTAAGACCTGTCAACTTGCATGGGGACCCAACGGGGGTTCGCATGGGGGTGGCTGGTAGCCTGAGGATGCTGTCTCCGCTTTTTAGTTTCCATTGTAGTTTTAACTTT